GTGCGCGTTACGAACGAATTAATATTAGTTCAACGCTGCTTCCTGCATTTGTCCTTATCTTTTTACGATAGCGTTGGCTGGGGCCACAATTATTTGCTTAAACCGGTGTTATTTGGTTACAGAACGGATTTCAGAGCCTTAAATCCAGATAGTAGAACTTGAATTAGATTAAAATAGAATTGGTCGGTATTCTTTAGAGTAAACTTAAGCTGAAGTATAGTTGAAAAGAGCATTAAAGAGTTGAATAGAGTAATAATAAATGGTAGATGAACAAACGGGCTATCTGGTTTGAACTGGTTACTAGGGCCGATCTTCAGCACAACTTGAAAGTTGCTACATTTTATTTACGACTATGGTATACATGTGCTTATTAGTAACACTTATAGAAGATAGTATTATGCTATCTGTTCGATCATTCATGGTGTATCAGAGCATTTATATACATAAATATGTCTATGTGTGAGAGACAACCCTACTACCTAAATAAAAGATATTTCCCTACACGGTTACAATTCCCGTAGGACAGATGTCGGAGGGGTGGGGCGAATGCGCGGGGAGGCATCAGCTTCTCGGATCAGACCTATGACCAATATCAGTTGATCTCAGTAAATGAACTAGTAACTTGAAAATCAAGGTTTTGAACGGGTCACGCTGTTGTGGACATAGGTTGATAGCTTTGAAATTGTGGTTATTGCTGATTAGACAGTGTGTCTTAAGTTTTTTTACTGGTGTTTGTTGGTTAGGCGTCTATGCTCTTATTGGTAAGACACCCGGTGCCCGGTGTAGCAGTCTATAGTGAGAGGCCGTACTGGTTCATAATCGTCCGGTGGGTGTCGACGTTTACTATTACATGTTCTTCTTCAAACGAGGCTTGCAGGCATGCCCGGGACACCAGTGCTAAGTGGCCCCTATTGTTTGTGCTGTGCAATTGTGTGTGCCCAAGAGTGAGAGTGTTTCATCTGGAGTTGCTGTTTCGGAGTGGAAACGCCCCGAACAGTGAGACGAAGGACCCGGGAACAGGTAAGTGGATCGACACTTCTTTCCTTAAACGATTAGTTTAATACGGGTAGGTGTCGACCAGCCTGTGTAAGCTGCGTTACCGTTTTATTTGAATATAAAACCGGCGAACGTTAGCGCCACCGAGTCTGGCCTCCCTGTGTCATTCCCAGTCCTCTCCTACCCTTCGGGGCTAGGCGGGGCGGTCGCAAAACCCGATAAACTGGTCTACGTAGAAGGTTGTTGGCGTTTGAACCCCCTACCGTTAGTTAATTAAGTCTAGACAGTAAGATTATTTAATCCCTTATTTTTATAAATTAATTTCTTAGTACCATTTAATATAATAGCAGTAATTTTATTTCGTTATTTCATTAGTTTACCAATTAATTTAATCTACCCGCTTTTAACAAAAACAAGTGGCGCTGCCATAGAATATTAAAATTACGTTTGTCTTTTCTTTTGCATCTACCTACTTTTAATATCACATTTTGTTTAACATAGTTTAGTTTAAAATTTTTAATACATTGATTCTGGCGCACCGGTCGGCATTCATAAGTGGTCTATGCTGTCTATCCATCCATTGTTTATTTAGAGTTATCCTGATTTGCTTTATTAAGTTAGTGTTAGTATTTAGTGGGGTTCCCGTCTAATTATTCCTTCATTTGATTGAATTTAATTTAATTTATTATCTTGTTATTTTGTTGTTTTATTTCAGTTTCTTTATTGTTATTTTTACTTTATTTTAGTATAGGTTTTCAATAGTTGGGTGTTCAGTGACCCTTTTACTAGTGAAATTCGCTGGTAAAAGAGAGTTACTCAACAATCCGGTAAGTTTATTGTTTGTTAAGTACATTTGTATAATATAGGTTGTTAATATATTATTATTAATTTGTTTATTTGAATTCTTTTGATTCATTAAAGACTAGTTTGTACCGGAACCGGGACTCACCGCTTGTCTAACACTGACCGAGTACAGATGCAAGTGTAGTTATATTATTTAGTTTAGTACATTCATTATTAATTAGCACTTATTAGTTATCGGTAGATTTTAATTTAATTTCGAGCAGTTAGTCTAGTTAGTCTCTTTTCTGTTATTTTATAGTTATAATTATATAATAGCAGTATCCCTTATTGCCGGTTAACCGGAGCCCAGTCTAAAAAAGTAACATACCAACTGGCAACGCCCGGGAGTACCAATGACTCAACCATCGTAGGACCAGGGAAATCATGTCGTCGGGGAACTCACCCCCGTTAATCAGCACACCCGGCCCGTCCAATAAGGGACGTCAGGCGATTCACAAGCCAACACCTGCAACCCGTACAAGCTTGACGGGACTCGGGTTGGACAGCCAGCCCGGGCCTTCGGTCGCGGCCCAGGGGTCCCCGAGGATCGGACCGAGGGAAGGTAATCTTCCCTCGTTGACCGATCCCTCCGGGCCCTCTCGGCCGCGGAAGAAGGCCAGGTCTGAGTCTGACCGAGGCTCGTCAAGCGACAAGGATAAGCGTCCGCGACTGGGTCCTTCCTCCAGATCGGAGGGAGAGGAAAGTGCGACCACATCCACCGATCATTCCTCAACTGAATCCGTGACTCCTTCCACGTCTAGATCTTCGTCCCCCTCTGGGAGCCCAATCCCAGCCAATAAACCAATTCCGAAGCCTAGGGCCCCCGCCAGGACAGGGACAGCCCTTAGGCAACTACGATCCCCTCCACGTTCTCCCTCCCCAACGTTATCCCCAATCCCGGTGGACCCGAGGTGCCCCCGCCCTAAGCGGCACGGCGGGCAACCTGGATTCCACCAGGTATATGGACCTCGAGTCCACCAGACCCCAAAATATTCCCTTACCGACAAACCCCAAGCCTTCTACCTCCTACGCTGCCATGGCAGCTAGGCCAGGTATTCCTACCACCCAGAGGACTTCCCAATCCTCAAAAGCCCCTCCCCCGAGGTCGAGGGGTCGTGCCCAGGAGGCATTACGTCGACACCCACCAATTATGGTGGAGGCCCTCCCAAATTGGCCTCGCCATTTGGCGGCCATTAGGGAGCGCTTAGGTCGAGCTCCCTCGGCGCGACCCTTCGGCGCCGGTTTTAGATTTCTGCCGACGTCGGTCGAGGAGTACAGGGCGGTCCAGGCCTACCTGTCGGAGGCCTCTGCCAGGGATGGTACCATTAAATGGTACTGTTATGCCCTGGCGGAGGAGATGCCTTCTAAGGTGGCGGTCCGGGGCCTCCCTGCCGACACCGACGAGGCAGAAATAGTCAATGCCCTGAAGGAGCTGGGATTCCCGGCTCGATATGCCAGGTGCATCAGGTCCCAGAGAGGGCGACCGGGCTGCGTGTTTCACGTAGCCCTGGACCACCTCTCAAGGGACGACCTCGCCCGCTTGTACGCAGTCAACGAACTGTTGTACTTGCCGGGGGTGACAGTTGAGGGATGGCGTCCAACCCGAGGGCCCGCGCAGTGTCATCGCTGCCAGGCCTTCGGACACGCATCCTACAACTGCCATCGCGCGGTCCGCTGCGTAAGGTGTGCCGGAGAGCACATTGTAGCGGACTGCCCGAGGCCGAGGGACGGCCCATTCTCCTGCGCCAATTGTGGGAAGGACCACGTCGCCGTCGACAGACGGTGTGCGGTCTTCCGCAAACGGGCCAGGATGATGGGAGTCACCGTCCCTCCTCCTGCGCCACCGGTGCCTCGAGCCGGGGGTGCAGCTCCTCCGGCTGTACTTCCCATAGTAAGGGGGAAGGGGAAGGGGAAAGGGAAATCTTCCCTTCCCCCGGCCCCTCCCCCTCGAAACTCCATTCCGTCCGCCGTGGTAGTGGAGGCTGAGCCGTCAGCGACCACGTTGATGGCGCAGGCCAACCGGCCGCGGCGGACAAATAAACCCATTCCCGTTCCTCGTGGTCGCACTTCCGCTGGTGTCACACCTACACCTCGCCCGACCGGCGGTCCTGCACCCGGAAAAAATAGTAATAGGAACAAAAAGAAAAAACAAAAGAAAAAAGATAAAAAAAAAGAAGCACGAGAGAGAGAGGAAGCCATCAGAGCGACTGATGCNGGTAGCACTATTAGAAAATGATAGTGACGACGGCGACACATAATTTTTTATATTTAGTATATTTTTTTAAATAAACTTCTTAACTTTTAATTGTGTTTTATTTATAACACCTAATACACTTCAAGAATTCCTCTCTTTTCTTTAACTTTCTTCAAAACACACAGGCTTAAAAATAAGTTATGGCAAATAAACAATAAAATTAAATAAAATTAAATTATATGCGGGCAATAAAAGTGACCATTTTTTTGTTGCAATGTGCACTATGCGCGACATTACCCCCACTACACCAAAACCTTGCCTTACGTGCCGCTTACTACAGCAGGGACGAGCGATTAACCAGGGCTGGCCGAAGATTCGCGAGCTTCTCCATCACTGTGTCCAGTTCTTCACAGTACACATTCGCAGTAATACTAGTGCCATTTGGTAAGAAGCTGTGATGGATTATACCCGCACTAGATCACTAAACAGTGACTATGATTTTTTTTATGATATTATTTATTTTTTATATTACGAAAACTAGACTTCCGCTTAGTTGTTTTCTACCGTGAAGCAGTAATGCGTTTCGGCTTGAAGAGTAGGTAGAGCAGCTGTTATACTGTTAAAACTGAGACTTAGAACTTATGTCTCGAGGTAGGTGGAGGCATTAAATTTTACGTGGTAGGTGTCTATGGGCTCCGCTAACCACTTAAAACTAGGTGGGCCGTGGGCTCTCCCACCCACATAATCAATAAAAAAGTAAAAAAATTAACAAAATAACTTTATCCACTGAAAGTTTGCGCAATACGAAACATTCCATACTTTCATTTATCCGACTTAAATGAAATTGTGATTTTACGAAAGAATTACAAACACTGCATGTCGCATGGTAACGGCCTATAAAACTACTATTAGTTCATTAAAGCCTTTTATTTTACTTTTGGGACTATTCGCACTTAAAAAAATCATAATGTTTAAGGTAAAGATTTATTTGTGTGCAAACGTTCCAAAGTATATAATTTAAAATTTAAAATGCCATTATGTATATGTCGGCTTAGATTAGAAAAAGCAAGTTTTAAATATATAATTTTTAATTTTCCAATGGTGTCTTGAGACCGGAAATCTTCAACGCTTTGATCTATTTTATATATAGTTTAAGAACTGAAAACACGCTTAAATAGCAAACGGAAGTAAGGGTTTTTAGGGTTTCTATTATTTTAATTCTATATATCGCGATTTATATCCTTTTATTTTACAGGTATTGATTCTAGTAGGACTTGTGGGTGCAGTTGTTGCCGAGCATGCGTTCTCATCGCAGCATATACACAAACACGACGGGCATCATGAAACCGTCCAACACGGACATGGAGACAAGCACCACCATGACTATTATGTAAATAAAACAGATCCTTTTATACTTTGCAATCTCATATAATAAGTAGTAGATTATAGACAAGATAGACCGATAACCTATTGAAGTTTGCAGAGATCTGCCGGATGCAGGTAATGCAGGACCGATATTTGTGGCGAGGCTTGGGGGAGGCTTATGTCCCTCTCTGGACGTCTGTGGTCTGATAGAATAGAAGTAGTAGATTTTTTTTAACAATGTACCTTTTTGCACATGGGCCCATTTAAGTAATTTTTTTCTTGGAATTATCTTACATGAAAATTTTAGTATTGTATTTTTTTATCAGACTCATCCAAAATACGAGTTTGAGTACAAAGTAGAGGACCACCACACTAAAGACCACAAGAGTCAGCACGAGTCCCGCGACGGTGACGCCGTGAAGGGATACTACGCGCTGCATGAACCCGACGGTTCCGAAAGACATGTCCACTACCACGGCGACAAACACAGCGGGTATGAAAGATTATTGCCTTAATATCATGAAATTAAAGGGAGGATGAATTGTACTCAAATTAATAAAACATGTCAATTTCAGATTCCACGCAGACGTGAAGCACAGCACTCATCATATTTACCACCATCATCATTAGACTTAAATCTGTTGTTATTTGTTTAATAAACGATATTTAAAAAAAACATATTTACTGTTGTCACTTAGTTCTTAATAAGAGTTTTAAAGTTAATATTGCGGGTAATGTTTACAATGAAAACTGGAAAGCTAATTAATGGAGGACCTCACCGCTGGTCCGTCTCGATTTTGTTTATTTTAATCAAAATATACTCAGAAATAAGTCAAATACACTATTTTATAAACACTGATAATGTTCTGAATGTCCAGGTGAAGAAAAAATGGTAGTATGTAGTTAGTATACATATAACAATAATAAATCGATGAAATACTCGTAGTGGCTAACACTCTTTGAGACGCTCATTATCAGCATAAAATCATTATAAGTCACTCATTGATTTAAAAAAGTTGTGAACTTAATTTTTAATAGTCAATATAGACCGATTTAAGAAACTTGTTTAAATATTTTTTAAATAATCACTATAATATTTTTTTAATAATTAGTTTAAAAATTTGATTGGTTTTCAAGTAATCGGTGAAGACTAATTAATGCCTTCACCAATGCACGAGCTCAATGGATTTAATAAAGTACAAACAACATCACTGAAACCGTAATGCGTTCTATGTAAGAAAATCTTGTAGGTATTTATGCAAAGTTTTCAAAATAATACATCAGTTCTCCGGTGAATCTCTTAGTTGCCTAAGGGATAATAAGTCCGGTGTACTCATTTTTAGCCGTTTATGCAGGTGTTCAGGAGGGTAATAAATTTTTCGAAGGATGCCATTTAAGGACACTGAAACAAGACGAAGATTCTTAATAAACCGAATACAACTTGGCATTAAGTCTTACTGTTTTTGGAACGAAGTTCCTTATGGGACGTTTCGGAGGGGTACCTTAATCGTGAAAAGACGTCCGCAACGTAAGATTTTATTATTTATGAATAGTCTTAGTATGATGGCTATACAGTGTCGAATGTATAGTCTACGTGATGACGGTTATTATTATCTATATATTAATACGTGAAGCAAAAACTTTGTATCCCTTTTTACGAAAATTGCGCGGACGGAGGAGAATGAAATTTTCTATACTTATAGAGAATATAGAGAAGAAGTGCACAATGCTAATATTTTTTTACAATAATGCATAAAAGATACATTAAATCAATAAATAAAACATTACACACACTACATACCATGTATTTGACGCACACACGCATGCATACGAGGGCGGCACTGAAAATTTCGGGAATTAACGAAGTGACACAACATTACTATTTAAAAATGTAGGTATTTATTGCTTTTCGAAGTATTCTCCGCGAAATTTGACACATTTTTCCATACGATGGAATCAATCATTGAAGCAACCATTCCATTCGGAAATTGGGGTCTCCAAAATGGCCGTTTTGTAGGCGTCCACAGCTTCTTCAGGTGATGAAAATCTCTGTCCACTCTATCCATCGGGAAAACAACTTTTTTACACCTAATTGTTCATGCAAGATTATTTGTATTTGACTCATGCCAATGTCTAAAGTTGCCTGAATTTCGCGGTATGTCACATGTCGATCTTCCTCAATCAGCTTACGCACAGCATCAACGTTTTCTTGGGTGACTGCAGTTTTTGGACGACGTTGACGGGGATCATCACTGAGCTTGACACGTCCACGTTGAAACTCAGCAAACCAGCGATAAATTGTGGTTTTGGATGAGGCTTCATCACCAAATGCAGAAATCATCCGGTCAACACACGGTTTTTGTGTTAAACCACTTCGAAAGTCATAAAAAATCATCGCTCTTGAATTTTCTCGAGTCAATTCCATTTTCTCAACGACTAAACAAGTTTGACAAAACCTCGTGACAAGACCGAGAATCTTTTTTAAAATAAATAAATGGTATTCGATTTTTAAAACCAAGGAGTTTTCAATTAAAAATATTTTAATATGACAGAAACAGTGGAAATATTCCATTCCCGATATTTTTAGTGCAGCCTAGTACTATTTATTGTCAAACTTTTGTTCTTGGCGTCTGTTGTCAAATTGAGAATAGATTAAATATTGTTTGTCTTTGTTAATATTTTTTATAGTGTATTCTTGGCAAAATTTGTGATTATAAAAGTATAAAATACAATGATAATAGTGTACAAACTTACAATTCCAATTATTTTAATTATAGTCGAATTTCGACTACTGCGGGACCTCTCGTTCATATAAATAGCTGTTTCTTTGTATATTATTATTGGAACGAAGTTCCTTATGGGACGATGTGGAGGGATATCCTAACCGGGAAAAAACGTCCGTAACGTAATATTTTTATTAGTAATGCACACAGTGTACGACTTAACTTTGTAATAACGTACAAAAAGTCGGTAAAAGTAATGAAGGCTTCTAGTATGTGTGCGTTAAAGCATTTTTATAACAGTAGGGGCAGAGGTGGCTGGGATTTTATACGTCTATCTGTTGATACGTAGCCAGATTGTCAGTATCCTATAACACAAATATATCAATGTAATTTACTTTTTTTAAATTTCGACATATTTTCATTGCATGCTAAATACACTAATAAATTGATATGTAAGTTCTTGGACCGAAACCAAGCCAAGCTATTAAGAAAATAGAGGCATTGCGTTTGTTTCTATATAGTAAAACATTACTCTGTTGAATAAAGAAACATATTAATTTTAATAATTTATATTTTATTTACCACAAAATAAACGGTTTTATCATAATACATTAATATTTTATTTGTATACGGACTCATCCGTTGGTGAAATCGAGATCGATTATTAGTGATGATGGTGATGTTCAGGTACAACATGGTGAGCATGACCCTCGCGTCTCACAACTGCGTTGAATCTGTAGAATAGTAACATTTTAAATTTTGAGTAAAATAGCAAACGCATAATCCGCAAACGCAAAATAAATAAGCAAACGTATAATCCGTAGTTATGCAATCTCATAATCACCACTACATAAATACTTCGACTTATCTTCATACAGCTGAAGTCTTACCCGACTTCATTACGCAACGGAAGTTTCTTGAAGTTGCTTAAAGCTTAAAGTGTAAGGAACTATGAATAATGCTAAATCAATTATTTATAGCTCACCCGCTGTGTTTATCGGCGCTGTACTCAACAGTCCTGATGGTACCATCGGCTTCGTGCAGACTGTACACGCCCTTCACGACGTCACCGTCACGGGTCTCGTGCTGGTACTTGTTGTCGCCGGTGTGAGGATCCTCTACTTTGTACTCAAAGGCGTATTGAGGATGAGCCTGCATTAAAAATTATAAGATGACTATCACGATTAGGAATAGTTCTAGTTCGAGCATTAAAAAAAGCAGTTTTGCCAAACATACGTGATAGTCGACGTGGTGGTCGACATGTCCGTGGTGATGTTCATGATCGTGGTGTTGCACTAAATGAACTCCATGGTGCAACTCTTCATGATCATGGTGTCCCGCGTGCTGTGTTAAAAGTATTTGGTGGTGGGCTGGAGCGTGATGCGGCTGATGTTCATGTCCGTGACTCGTGTGTAATACGATGCTTTGAGATGAAACCGCATGGCCGTGGTCGTGTCCATGGCCATGGCCCTCTTGAGGTCTAGCCGTGGCTGCGGCCAGAATAGTGGCTACTAAAAGAACCTGAAATGTTTGGAATAAAGCATTGTAATATATTTAACCTAAGCACGATGGTAATTTATCTTACAATATGTCGCAAAATTTAATACCTTGGAATACATGTGAGTGAAATTGGTTGGAGTTCTTTAAAAAATCAACGTGAACTGATAATAGTTGTTCAAATAATTCGGTTTTTATACACAAAAGGGCGCGACAAGTTTTATTTTTCGTAATAATATCGATCGGCGATTAAAACCGGATTATCACTTACATACATCGGAATAATTCTTATAATAGTTGCTGTGACAAATTAAGTTATGGTGACCTTACTTTAAGATTAAGAAATTGGGTGCATTAGTATCAAATAATTTATTTAAAGCAGTAGTGACAGATAAAAATGATTTTAAAAACCATATATGAAAATATGTATATTTAACTCTTAATTAACGCGAATTTTCATTGGGCACAATTACTTTTAAATATTCATGTAATATCGTCGTAAAATCCTGTGGTAATGCCCTAAGCTTATTTCTAGCTATTGCTACTAAAGACTTCTGTAGTAGCAGTATTATCTTCCCAAGTATCTTCTCCCGTATTATTTATTTCTTTAAGCAAAAAGTTTCACTTATTCATATTTTCGCAATTTATTGTTTATTTTACTTCATTACTTTTATGATATAGTAGGTTGAATAATGGATAAGATAAACCACCAGTGTACTCGCAACACGCAAGGTCAATGAGTAGGCTGGATGATGCACAATTTATTCCAAACAATCCTAAGTCTTGTAGCTTAGAGACCGTCTTTTGTACTGTATGAGGTTGAGCGGTGTCGTGTAGGAGCAGCGGGGACGAGCGATTAATCAGGGCTGGGCGGAGATTCGCGAGCTTCTCCATCACTGTCAGTTCTTCACAGTACATATTCGCAGTAATACTGGTGCCTTTAGGTAAGAAACTGTAATGAATTATACCGCACTAGATCACTAAACAGTGAAACAGTACGAAAACTAGACTTCCGCTAAGTTAGTTTCTACCGTGAAGTAGTAATGCGTTTCGGTTTGAAGGGTAGGTAGGGCAGCTGTTATCGTGTTAAAAGTGAGACTTAAAACTTATGTCTCGAAGCAGGTCGTGGTATTTACGTCGTAGGTATCCGTGGGCTCCGGTAACCACTTAAAACTAGGTGGGCCGTGAGCTCGCCCACCCACATAAGCAATAAAAAAAAGATGTATGTAGTGTCGTGGGTCACCGGATAGGAAGGAAGTTCCTTCTTATAAAAATATTAATTATAAATTCTATTCGAGGTATAAAGAAAATAATTATTCGGGTAAACACTTTTTATCATGATTTTTTTATTGGTAAAAATAAAAATAAAACTACTTTACAAAGCTATCAACTTTATTTTATTCACAGTGATTTATAAAAAAATATATAATACAAAAATATGTTATTTTTTGTACGTTATTACAAAGTTAAGTCGTACACTGTGTGCATCTATACTAATATATAAGTATAAATCTACAGTGGTTTTTACGGATGTTCCGTTATAACTACTGAACCATGGCATCCGATTGATTGAAGNAAAACTACTTTACAAAGCTATCAACTTTATTTTATTCACAGTGATTTATAAAAAAATATATAATACAAAAATATGTTATTTTTTGTACGTTATTACAAAGTTAAGTCGTACACTGTGTGCATCTATACTAATATATAAGTATAAATCTACAGTGGTTTTTACGGATGTTCCGTTATAACTACTGAACCATGGCATCCGATTGATTGAAGCTTGGTATCCATGTAGAAAATACATGAACTTAATGAATAGGCTAATATTTATATGAGTGTTGGACTCCCTATACCAGTTGCGGGGGAGTTAATGATAAGAATCTTTGTGGGGGTGAGAAATAATAATGTTAATTTTAAATGCCCAGCGAAGCGGACGGGTACAGCTAGTTACTAACAAAAATCTTACGTTACGGACATTTTTTCCTGGTTAGGGTACCTCTCCGCATCGTCCCATAAGGAACTTCGTTCCAAAAAAATAAAATATCTAACAAAATAACTTTATCCACTGAACATTTGCGCAATACGAAACATTCCATACTTTCATTTATCCGACTTAAATGAAATTGTGATTTTACGAAAGAATTACAAACACTGCATGTCGCATGGTAACGGCCTATAAAACTACTATAGTTCATTAAAACCTTTTATTTTACTTTGACAATATAAAAGCTGTAAGCTGTTGGAATATTTATCAGTCGTATTGTTCTTTTGGGGGTATTCGCATCTAAAAAATTCATAATGTTTAAGGTAAAGATTTATTCGGGTGCAAGCATTCCAAAGTATATAATTTAAAATTTAAAATGCCGTTATGCAATGTATATATCGGCTTAGATTAGAAAAAGGAACTTTTAAATTTTATTTTATTTTTAATTTTCTAACGCTTCTTGCTGTCTTAAAACCGGAAGTCTTCAACGCTTTGATCTACTTTATATATAGTTTAAAAACTGAAAACACGCTTAAATAGCAAACGGAAGTAATGGTTTTTAGGGTTTCTATTATTTTAATTCTATATATCGCGATTTATATCCTTTTATTTTACAGGTTTTGATTCTAGTAGGACTTGTGGGTGCAGTTGTTGCAGAGCATGCGTTCTCATCGCAGCATATACACAAGCATGACGGGCATCATGAAACCGTCCACCACGGACATGGAGACAAGCACCACCATGACTATTATGTAAATAAAACAAATCCTTTTATACTTTGAAATCTCATATAATAAGTAGTAGAATATAGAGAAGATAGACCGATGACCTATTGAGGTTTACAGAGATCTGCCGGTTGGAGGTAACGCAGGATCGATCTTTGTGGCGAGGCTTGGGGGAGTCCTTTGTCCCTCCCTGGACGTCTGTGGTCTGCTAGAATAGAAGTAGTAGATTTTTTTTAACAATATACTTTTTTGCACATAAGCACATTTAAGTAAATTTTTTCTTGGAATTATCTTACATGAAAAATTTTTTTTTTTTTATCAGACTCATCCAAAATACGAGTTTGAGTACAAAGTAGAGGACCACCACACTAAGGACCACAAGAGTCAGCACGAGACCCGCGACGGTGACGCCGTGAAGGGCTACTACGCGCTGCATGAACCTGACGGTTCCGAGAGACATGTCCACTACCACGGCGACAAACACAGCGGGTATGAAAGATTATTGTCTTAATATCATGAAATTAAAGGGAGGATGAATTGTACTCAAATTAATAAAACATTTCAATTTCAGATTCCACGCAGACGTGAAGCACAGCACTCATCATATTTACCACCATCATCATTAGACTTAAATCTGTTGTTATTTGTTCAATAAACGATATTTAAAAAAAACATATTTACTGTTGTTGCTTAGTTGTTAATAAGAGTTTTAAAGTTAAAATTGCGGGTAATGTTTACAATGAAAACTGGAAAGCTAATTAATGGAGGACCTCACCGCTGGTCCGTCTCGATTTTGTTTATTTTAATCAAAATATACTCAGAAATAAGTCAAATACACTATTTTATAAACACTGATAATTTTCTGAAAGTCAGATGAAGAAAATGAAGAAAAACTTGTAGTATGTAGTTAGTATACATATAACAATAATAAATCGATGAAATACTCGTAGTGACTAACACTTCTTGACAAGCTCATTATCAGCATAAAATCATTATAAGTCACTCATTGATTTAAAAAAGTTGTGAACTTAATTTATAATAGTCAATATAGACCGACTTAGGAAACTTATTTAAATATTTTAATTTTATAATAATTTTTTAATAATTAATTTAAAAAATTTATTGGTTTTCAAGTAATCAGTGAAGACTAATTAATGCCTTCATCAATGCACGAGTTCAATGGATTTAATAGAGTACAAGCAATATCACTGAAATCGTAATGCGCTCTTTGAAAGAAAATCTTGTATTGATGCAAAGATTTCAAAATAATACATCAGTTCTCCGGTGAATCTCTTACTAAAAGATAAGAAGTCCGGTGTACTTATTTTTAGCCCTTTAATCCGGTATTCAGGCGGGTAACCATTTTTCTAAAATATTTGATTTCCACGATATAGACATGATATCTTGTAATAGAAATGAAATTCACAAAAAAATTTAAGTGCATAAATACTATACTATTGAGATATGCACCTCAAACATCAAGTTGGGTGGCGGCATTTGTGTTGTGATGTTTGGAGGCTCCGGTAGCAAATCAAGATTAGGAGGCCTGTGGGCTCATTAACTTATACAACAAATAAAAAAGGTCAGTAGAAGCGATGGATGCCACTTTAAGATTCTGAAACAAGACGAAAATTCTTAAAAAACCGTTTACAACTTAGCTTTAAGTCTTAATAAGGTTTTTTAATTGTTGTTTGAATGGTAATAAGTGAACTTGTTTAGGTGAACTGTTTATTATTTCCAGAAAGAAATTTTGGAATAAACATCTTATAATATTTTATCTTCCAGATCGTATCGACAAAACATGTTGCGCCGACCCCAGGTGACTGGAAAAAGGGCAGAAGAATGATGATGATGATGATTCATCAATATTATATATATCATTCAATAATATGTAATACGTCGTTGTTTTTTGAGAAATACAATTTCGTCATCGTAGTGACGTTCCTTTTATTTCGAAAGTGTGTGCATGCAATTTGTATTATAGTTGGTAATATTAATCCGTTTTCATTAAGTGTTTACATACTGCCTCAGGACCTACTGGGTTTTATTTGGTAGCCAAAGTCTACAGACATCACACACTGGATACTGCCACGAAATGAGTTGTCATGCTCAATATTAGCGCAATACGGCTTCTGACTGGAAATCTACGACTGCATCGCAAAATAAGTAGGGTGATTGTAGCATCGTGACAGCTAGCTCACGTCCTACCGTATTTTAAGAACACTATACAGAGTTAAGATGTGGGTGTAGAAGAATATGGTAGGGTAAAAGTAATGAAGGCTTCTAGTATGTGTGCGTTAAAGCAATTTTATAACAGTATGGGCAGAGGTGGCTGGGATTTTATACGTGTACATGTTGATACGTAGCCAGATTGTCAGTATCCTATGACACAAATATATCTATATAATTTACTTCTCTTTTTAATTTCGAAATATTTTAATTGCATGCTAAATATACTAATAAATTTATATGTAAGTCCTTGGACTGAAACCAAGCCAAGTTATTATGAAAATAGACGCATTGCGTTTGTTTCTATATAGTAAAATATTACTCTCTTGAATAAATGAAACATATTAATTTTAATAATTTATATTTTATTTATCACAAAATAAACGATTTTATCATAATACATTAATATTTTATTTGTATCATCCGTTGTTGAAATCGAGATCGATTATTAGTGATGATGATGATGTTCAGGTACAACATGGTGAGCATGACCCTCGCGTCTCACAACTGCGTTGAATCTGTAGAATAGTAACATTTTAAATTTTGAGTAAAATAGCAAACGCTTAATCCGCAAACGCAAAATAAATAAGCAAACGTATATTCTGTAGTTATGCAATTTTATAATCATCACTACGTAAATACTTCGACTTATCTTCATACAGCTGTAGTCTTACCCGACTTGAGATATAAGTTCTAGGGTCTCAAGTATAGTTACAATGGTTGCCCCGCACTTCAAACCGAAACGCATTACTGCTTCACAGCAGAAATAGGCAGGGTGGTGGTACCTACCCGCGCGGACTCATAAGAGGTCCTACCACCAGTAAAATGCAATCTTATAATAATCACTACGTAAATACCTCGACTTATCTTCATACAGCTGTAGTCTTGAAGTCTTATCCGACTTCATTACGCAACGGACGTTTCTCGAAGTTGATTAAAGCTTAAAGTATAATGAACTGAGTATAATCCTAAATCAATTGTTTATAACTAACCCGCTGTGTTTATCGGCGCTGTACTCAACAGTCCTGATGGTACCATCGGCCTCGTGCAGACTGTACACGCCCTTCACGACGTCACCGTCACGGGTCTCGTGCTGGTACTTGTTGTCGCCGGTGTGAGGATCCTCTACTTTATACTCAAAGGCGTATTTAGGATGAGCCTGAATTAAAAAAATTAACATGACTATAACGATTAGGAACAGTTCTAATTAGTTCGAGCATTACAAAAAGCAGTTTTCCCAAACATACGTGATAGTCGACGTGGTGGTCGTCATGTCCGTGGTGATGTTCATGATCGTGGTGTTGCACTAAATGAACTCCATGGTGCAACTCTTCATGATCATGGTGTCCCGCTTGCTGTGTTAAAAGTATTTGGTGGTGAGCTGGAGCGTGATGCGGCTGATGTTCATGTGCGTGACTCGTGTGTAATACGATGCTTTGGGATGAAACCGCATGGCCATGGTCGTGTTCATGGCCATGGCCCTCTTGAGGTCTAGCCGTGACTGCGGCCAGAATAGTGGCTACTAAAAGAACCTGAAATATTTAGAATAAAGCACTGTAATATATTTAACCTAAACACGATGGTAATTTATCTTAAAATATGTCTCAAAATTTAATACCTTGGAATACATGTGTGTGAAATTAGTTGGAGTTCTTTAAAAAATCAACGTCAACTGATAATACTTGTTCAGATATTTCGGTTTTTATACACAAAAGGGTGCGACAAGTTTTATTTTTCGTAATAATATCGATCGGCGATTAAAACCAGATTATCACTTACATTCATCGGAATAATTCATATAATAGTTGCTGTGACAAACTAAGTTATGGTGACCTTACTGTAATATTAAGAAATTGGGTGCATTAATATCAAATTATTTATTTAAAGCAGTAGTGGCAGATAAAAATGATTTTTAAAACCATATATGAAAATATGTATATAGATAGCTCTTAATTAACGCGAATTTTCATTGGGTACAATTACTTTTAAATATTTATAATTCATGTAATATCGTCGTAAAATCCTGTGGTAATGCACTAGGCTTATTTCCAGCTATTGCTACTAAAGCCTTCTGTAGTAGCAGTATTATTTTCCCGAGTATCTTCTCCCGTATTATTTCTTTAGGCAAAAAGTTTCACTTATTCATATTTTCGCATTTTATTGTTTATTTTAGTTCATTACTTTTATGATATAGGAGTTGAATAATGGATAAGATAAACCACTAGTGTACTCGCAAAACACAAGGTTTGGTGAGTAGGTTGGATGACGCACAGCTTCTTCCGAACAACCCTTGCTCCTGTCGGTAGGCAGCGGCTTGGCTCTGCCCCTGGCATTGCTGAAGTCCATGGGAGACGGTAACCATTCACCATCAGGTGGGCCATGTGAACGTCTGCCAACAAGAGAAATAAAAAAAAAAGCTTAGCGACCGTATTTTGTACTGTTTGAGGTTGAGCGTTGTCATGTAGGAGCAGCAGGGACGAGCGATTAACCAGGGCTGGCCGGAGATTCGCGATCTTCTCCGCCACCGTGTCCACTTCTTCACAGTACACATTCGCAGTAATACAGGAGCCATTTGGTAAGAAGCTGTGATGAATTATAACCGCACTAGATCACCAAAAATTGACCATGATTGTTTATGATATTTTTTATTTTTAATGTTACAAAAACTAGACTTCCGCTTAGTTGTTTCCTACCGTGAAGTAGTAATGCGTTTCGGTTTGAAGGGTAGGTAGGGCAGCTGTTATCGTATTAAAAGTGAGACTTAGAACTAATGTCTCGAGGCAGGTCGCGGCATTTACGTCGCAGGTGTCGGTGGGCTCCGGTAACCACTTAAAACTAGGTGGGCCGTGAGCTCGCCCACCCACATAAACAATAAAAAAAGATGTGTGGTATCGTGGGACACCGGACAGGAACGAAGTTCCACATAAAAAAAAAAAAAAAGAATTACGAGAAAAAAATCGCGCGGTGAAATATCGCTGTGCGGAAAACAAGGCCTTATTCCACGGACTTTTTCTTACGGTTTTTACCATCACATTTTTTTCAGTTCGGTCGCGCAGCAAAATCCCTATATCCTCCAAGCCTGCCGTAAGGAACTTCGTTCCAAAAAGTTAAACATCTAACAAAATAACCTCATCCACTGAACATTTGCGCAATACGAAACATTCCATACTTTCATTTATCCGACTTAAATGAAATTGTGATTTTACGAAAGAATTACAAACACTGCATGTCGCATGGAAACGGCCTATAAAACTACTATTAGTTCATTAAAACCTTTTATTTTACTTTGACAATATAAAAGCTGTAAGCTGTTGGAATATTTATCAGTCGTATTGTTGTTTTGGGACTATTCACACCTAAGAAATTCATAATGCTTAAGGTAAAAATTAATTTGTGTGCAAACGTTCCAAAGTGTATAATTTTAAATTTAAAATGCCATTATGCAATGTATATGTTGGCTTAGATTAGAAATGGCAAGTTTTAAATATATAATTTTTAATTTCCCATGCGGTCTGAAACCGGAAGTGTTCAACGCTTTGAGCTACTTTATATTATATAGTTTAAAAACTGATAACACGCTTAAATAGCAAACTGAACTAAGGCTTTATTAGGGTTTCGAATATTTCAGTTTTGTATAGCGCGATTTATATCTTTTTATTTTACAGGTATTTATTCTGGTAGGATTTGTGGGTGCAGTTGCTGCAGAGCATGCGTTCTCATCGCAGCATATACACAAACACGATGGGCATCATGAAACCGTCCACCACGGACACGGAGACAAGCACCACCATGATTATTATGTAAATGAAACAAATCCTTTTATACTTTGAAATCTCATGTAATAAGTAGTAGATTATAGACAAGATAAACCGATGACCTATTGAGGTTCGCGGGGACCCGCCGGATGCAGGTAGCGCAGGACCGATCTTTGTGGTGAGGCTTAGGGGAGGCCTATGTCCAGCGGTGGACGTCTGTGGGCTGATAGAATAGAATTAGTATATAAAACATTTTAACAATGTACTTTTTTAACATGGCGTAAATTTTATTTAAGTAACATATTTACATGAAAATTATAGTATTGTTTTTTTTTTTATTAGACTCATCCAAAATACGAGTTTGAGTACAAAGTAGAGGACCACCACACCAAGGACCACAAGAGTCAGCACGAGTCCCGCGACGGTGACGCCGTGAAGGGATACTACGCGCTGCATGAACCTGACGGTTCCGAAAGACATATTCACTACCACGGTGACAAACACAGCGGGTAAGAAATAGCTCAAATTTTACTTTATAAATTACCTGTTTTCGGTTTCAAATAAATTTACTTCTGGTATGTCTTTAGCGTTTCAGCATTTTTTTTAAAAGTAGTTTTGATATTAGGCAGTTGTGCAAGCGTGCATCTGACTATTTGTGCCTCTCTATGTATTGTAGCAATAAAAGCCAAATCATAAATAACCTCCCTTTAACACGATTTTATGGAACTGTATCCATCTATGTAATGGAACACTTTAACGTTCTTTTTTAAAGATTTCATGACATTTTATTAACTTGAAAATGTATATTTATCAAGAACTAATTGCAATATTATTACTTATTTTGTTAATTTGGCCTATTATAATGACCCAGTAAAAAATATTGAAGTTTACTTCGGGTTGCTGTTAAGGCGTCTTTATTTAGTTTTTAAATTCCTCTTCTATTTCAGATTCCACGCGGATGTCAAGCACAGCACACACCACGTTTACCATCATCATCATTAAATAAGAATAATTTGTTATTAAAGTTTATAATAAAAAAACTGTTACGCAAAATATTGTTTTTAGTTCCTAAATTTAATTTAATTTTTTAAATAATTCAAAAACTTATATTTTTATTTTACGGTTTGATTTTCCTTTTACCTCGATATATTTTCATTATAAACTGATTATATCGACGATAATTATCACGTTTTTACGTATATGGACCTTGGCGGTCGTTTAATACCAGACGAGCAGTGTGCCAGCCATGAAAAGAAAACGTAGTTATTTTTTTGGATTCTTTAATAAATAAAAAATTGAGTACAATTTATGTACAGTGCGTATCCATTACGGATCAATAATATCTATAATACTTTTATCGCAAAAAAAAGAAAAAAGAAAAAGAAATTAGCTTAGGGGGAAATTTAGGCTTGTCTTTATATTTTTGTTAAGCGAATATGAATTTAAAACAAAAATATTTTTTTACTTAGTTGTATTTCAGTAAAATTGATACGGTTGACATCATTATAGTCATCAGAAGAATTAGTGCGAGCGTAATCGTTTTGTCCGTAGAGAGAAAATTACGAGAATTATTAATCCTTTGGTTGTAAAAATGTATTAAAATAAATAAATAAATAAATATTTACTAACAATCACGCAACATTAACTGGTCCGGTACTAAGTTCGTAAAGAACTTGTATTACAGGTACCAGATAACGGAAATAAATGTAAGATTTTTATTATACACATACATATATTTAATAAACATCCATAACCCTGGAAAAGACATTCCTACATTTATCATACAAATATCTTCCCTTGGCGGGATTCGAACCCGCGACTCCCTTGTGTAGTGACCATGTCACTTACCACTACACCAGACGGCCGTTAAATTATTATTGTAATTAGTATTGATTTGTATTGATTGATTGTAAATTAGTATTGATTGGTTTATTTGATTTAAGCATTTTATGCACTTAAATTTTTCAACTCCAGACTCTTAGACGGCATGATTAACTTCATGAAACGAATTTAGCGGACGTAATACCAAATCTACTGTTGTGATCCGGGTCCGACAACAATGTTATGAACTGAGGCTCTGATGGATTGACATTCAGTTCATAGTATTTACTCTATGTAGATTTTTACCTCCTTTATTACATGTCATGTGAATAAGCTCAAAACCTAATTGATTTTGTAGATCACCGGAGTCCATAGACATCATATCTAATACTCAATTATATTGTATAGCGTCTATCCATCCTTTAAATCGCAACCTTATGACTGCTTCGTGGCTGAAAAAGACAAGCAAGTGTAAGTTGTTATTAATAGTAAAACAGTAATACCAGTAATTTCCAGCGAAAAGAACGTACTTATAATTTAATTTGATGGGCGTCTACAACTAAGTAAGTTTAATCCGTGAAGCAGTAATGCGTTTCGGTTTGAAGGGTGGGGTAGCCGTTGTAACTAAAACATGAGACCTTAGAACTTATATCTCAAGGTGGGTGGTGCATTTACGTTGTAGATGTCTATGGGCTCCAGTAGCCACTTAACATAAGATGGGCTGTGAGCTCGTCCACTCATCTAAGCAATAAAATATATATATATATATATATCACGTTTATGTAAATATGGAATTTTACATTATGCTGTAAGAGTAAATAACTTAAATCTTATTTTGATAACACGTTTTGTACATTACTGAGTTACGTAATGATAGTAAACCTGCCTATGCGTAAGGTTTCAATGAAACATTTTAATGTTTAGAAATGTACGCATGCATTGAAAGAGCTTGCATTAATTAAGCTTACTGAATAAATTAACGAATAAATTTGATTTTTTTTTAACGATAAATTTAGTAAAGTTTAGGTTGTATGAATTGTTTTTTTTTAAAATAGCTTTTGGAAAAGATGAACGGTTCGTAATTGACCTTATTAAAAGAGACTATTCGAACAGTAAAAGCGCTCTAGGAGAGGCTGAATTAGAAAAACTTTGAAGTCTCGCCTTCACATGTTTGCCAAAAATATCTATAGTGATTGCTATTAGTAAAATTAAAATTAGAAAAAGATAAAACACCTGATGTTGTAATTTATACAAAGTGATACTTTTCTTTATTTAAATGGGCCGAGGTTATTACAAAGAAATTGGATTAAATTGTATGTTAACATTAAATTCATATTTCAAGCCTCGAAAACTGGTTTTTAAAGACAAACAAAAATAAATTTGACGCGGTCGTTTTAAATAAGTAATAAGTAACAACCACAAATAATAATAAGGTTGATCTGGTTTTGTGATTGCATTCCATGTAACTATATAAACAGCCGTTCTTAAAATCGAGGTATTAATTCGAGTTAATTAGTTGATCAGTTAATACGTGTAATCAAAAATGTTTAAGGTAACCGTACTAAAAATCATTATTAATATTCTTTAAGATTGTTTTATGCGCAAGTATTATGTCTCAAATATTTAGTGGCAGCGTGTTTATTATTTGAATGTGGTCTTCAGCTATAAGCATGTCTTTAGCATTATCTTGGTTTTCTGATATCCATTAGCGATGGCTACCAGTACGGCTAAGATTTGCACTGTTTGTTCACCTGCCTTCAAGGCAAACAAAATATAGGTAGACAAGCTTTTACTGGTGGCAGGACCTCTTGTGAGTCCGCGCGGATAGGTACCACCACCCCGCCTATTTCTGCCGTGAAGCAGTAATGCGTTTCGGCTTGAAGGGTGGGGCAGCCGTTGTAACTATACTGGAGACCTTAGAACTTATATCTCAAGGTAGGTGACGCATTTACGTTGTAAATGTCTATGGGCTCCAGTAACCACTTAACACCAGGTGGGCTGTGAGCTCGTCCACCCATCTAAGCAATAAAAAAAAGCTCATGTTAAACGATCACCAGAGACACCAACCAGTCTCGATGCAGTGAAATACGCAATTACAATGAGATCGATGTTATAATTTGTCCACAAATTATGTCATCATTTAAAAGGATTTTAAAAATATTACAGCTTACATTAATCATCGCTGCCCTGGCTCTAGTAAGCGCTAGGCCGCAAGATGGACACGGTCATGGTCACGCAGTCTCCTCGCAGAGTATAGTGCTACACACGAGCCATGGACATGAACATCACGGCCACACTCCTGCTCACCACCAAATACTCACGACGCAGCATTTTGAACACGGCGGTCACTATGACCTAGGACACCACGAGGTGCAACACCACGGATACGCTCAAGTACATCACCAGCCAATACACCACGGACTCCAACAGGTCCAATACCACGGGCATCAGGACGATCATCACCATGGACACGAAGAGCACCACGTCGACTACCATGTAAGAGAGCTCTATTAATTAAATCAATTCAATTGGCGATCTGTTTGCGTGATAAATTAGCATATAAATAATTACAGGCTCATCCTAAATACGCTTTCGAGTACAAAGTAGAGGATCCTCACACCGGCGACAACAAGTACCAGCACGAAACACGTGACGGTGACGTCGTGAAGGGCGTGTACAGTCTGCACGAGGCCGATGGTACCATCAGGACTGTTAAATACGCGGCCGATAAACACTCCGGGTAAATTAACTTTCATTTGACTCATAACTAATAATTTTCATTACGATAACTAATGACATTTGTAAATTTGTGAACAGATTCAACGCTGAGGTGCACCGTGAAGGTCACATAACTAATGACATTTGTAAATTTGTGAACAGATTCAACGCTGAAGTGCACCGTGAAGGTCACGCCAAACATGTAGTGCCTGAACATCAACATGGACATTAGCTTCAAGAAATTAATTACATGATCTCAATAATAGTACTAGATTATTAAATCATTAACTATCAATGTTTATGAATTTTTCATTGATTGGTGAATAAATGGAATTTAAATATTTTTCGTTTTCTTTTGTTTGAAATCGTCAAATTTCGGTATATCCAAACACTTAAGTGGATAAGCTAAAATCGACCTCAAGTTCTTGTCAATAACAATTTAATTTGCAACCCCTAATTTTTAGAGTAACGCTCGCCGTCCTTGTTTCTTGCTACTATCAAAGAGCAACTAAAATACGCTTTAAATTATTATTAAACAATGACATAATGATTTTATATTAATGAATTTAAAAACAAGAGATTAAATCGTAAAGGTAGTATAAATTGTGTTTACGACTCGCAAAACAAGAAAATATTATAGCCTTAAATTAATCGAAAACTTTTCCCACCTCGCTTTTCAGTATATCAATGACATGCTATCTATAGTTGGCATGCATTACTATTCGGATGATAGCACAGGGGATGCGCGATATATCGGCTATCAGAATCTCTCTCGGAGCGTGGTGCAGGAGAGACGATCAAAACTTGTCTCCGAAGTGGAGAATTATCTGGAGTGAGTCTCCGAGTGGGGTTGACCCGTTGAAGACAAAAATTTGCGCATTTACTGCTAAGAAGGACCCCTTTGCTATATTGCAGTAATTCCAAGGAGTATCCCTGCAACCTTCCACGAGTATTGGGTCGACATTTCAAGCGAAGTGCAATTTCGGGGTCATTTGGAGGGAAAATCCAAGTTGGCGTTCAAAATGCTGGGAGTCCTCAACAGGGCCAAGCGGTACTTCATGCTTGTACAAAGACTTTTGCTTTATAAAGTACAAGTCCGGCCTCGCGTGGAGTACTGCTTCCACTTTTGGGCCGGGGCTCCCAAATACCACTTACTTCCATTTGACTTCTTACAAAAGAGGGCCGTTCGGATTGTCGATAATCCCATTCTCACGGATCTTTTGGAACCTCTGGATCTGCGGAGGGACTTCAGTTTTATCTGTATTTTGGACCGTATAGTACAGTACAGTCTGCGGCAAAAGTTCTTCACCGGCCCCCGGCTCGGCGGCGACAGTAAGGTGGGGAGAGGGATGAGCTTTCCCTCTCTCGTTCCGCCGTTTCTTCTGCGAGATGGTGTATTCGCAGAAGTCGGACATCGCCTTTGTGGGCACGACAGTCGGCAGCGAGAAGTCCGGTCCTATTTACGAGATGAGGATACGGCGCTACCCCAGCCATGCGGGGCATTGTACGAGCGTGTGCTCGACCGTGTCTTCATCGCAGTCACAGTGGTGACACTCCATCGTCGGTTCTCTCCGGGCGAAAAAACCATGTCCGTTGAGCATTTGCGCCAACTGGAAGGTGAGACACCCTCGGTCACGGTTCGCTCATTCCGCGAGAGCCGGGCGCACCGCATCGATGGTCCGGAGACCGGCCAATCGATTTGCCAAGCGGCGAGACCACGCTTTCAGCACGGACCGCCGAGATTGGAGCCTCCGCGCTCTAATCACTCCTCCTCTGGGATGTGGCTCTCCTTTGTCGCAGAGGTCACATCGCCACGCATAATCTGCAGCGAACGCCTCCACCTCCAGGTCAATCCATACTACGTGAAGCTACCGCGTTCATCCACAGTGCGTTTCCAGCAATCTTTTTTACCATGTACCATCTAGCTTTGGAATGGGCTCCCCTACACGGTGTTTCCCGAGCGCTATGACATGTTCTTCTTCAAACGAGGACTGTGGAGAGTAGTTAACGGTAGGCAGCGGCTTGGCTCTATCCCTGGCATTGACAGACGACCATGAGCGCCGGTAACTACTCACCATCAGGTGGGTCATATGCTCGTCTGCCTTCAAGGGCAATAAAAAAAATAACTACATAAAAATTCAAATGTAACATAGACTCAAAATAAGCTCTACTACCAGTCTTAGCTTTCCCATCGTGTTGCTGGATGAGGTGGGCAAGCTGCTGGAACGCATTCTGGCAGCCCGCATCATCCAGCATCTGGTCGGGGTGGGACCCGATCTGTCGGCGGAGCAGTATGGCTTCCGAGAGGGCCGCTCAACGGTAGACGTGATCCTTCGCGTGCGGGCCCTCTCGGAGGAGGCCGTCTCCAGGGGTGGGGTGGCTTTGACGGTGTCGCTCGATATCGCCAATGCGTTTAACACCCTGCCCTGGTCCGTGATAGGGGGGGCGCTGGAACGACATAGAGTGCCCCCTACCTTCGCCACCTGGTGGGTTCCTACTTAGAGGACAGATCGGTCATGTGTACCGGACACGGTGGGATCCTGCACAGGTTCCCGGTCGTGCGCGGTGTTCCACAGGGGTCGGTGCTTGGCCCCCTTTTGTGGAATATCGGGTATGACTGGGTGCTGAGAGGTGCCCTCCTCCCGGGCCTGAGCGTAATCTGTTACGCGGACGACACGTTGGTCGTGGCCCGGGGGGGGGAGTTTTGCTGAGTCTGCCCGTCTTGCTACGGCTGGGGTGGCGCATGTCGTCGGCAAAATTAGGAGATTGGGCCTTGACGTGGCGCTCAGTAAATCCGAGGCCATGTGGTTCCACAGGCCCCGGAGAGTGCCACCTGTCGATGCCCATAACGTGGTTGGAGGCGTCCGTATCGGGGTCGGGGTGCAGTTGAAGTACCTCGGCCTCATTCTGGACAGTCGTTGGACCTTCCGTGCTCACTTTCAGAACCTGGTCCCTCGTTTGTTGGAGGTGGCCGGCGCGTTAAGCCGGCTTCTGCCCAACGTCGGGGGGCCTGACCAGGTGACGCGCCGTCTCTATACGGGGGTGGTGCGACCGCGTGGGGCCAGTCCCTGGCCGTGGGGGTGGCGAAGCTGCTGCAACGGCCGCAACGCACCATCGCGGTCAGGGTCATCCGTGGTTATAGCACCATCTCCTTTGAGGCGGCGTGTGTACTGGCTGGGATGCCGCCTTGGGTTCTGGAAACGGAGGCGCTCGCCGCTGACTATAAGTGGCGGGCTGACCTTCGTGCCCGGGGCGTGGCGCGTGCCAGCCCCAGTGCGGTCAGAGCGCGGAGGGCCCAATCTCGGCGGTCCGTGCTGGAGTCATGGTCCAGACGGCTGGCTGATCCTTCGGCTGGTCGTAGGACCGTCGAGGCGATTCGCCCGGTCCTTGTGGTTTGGGTGAATCGTGACAGAGGACGCCTCACTTTCCGGCTCACGCAGGTGCTCACTGGGCATGGTTGTTTCGGTGAGTTCCTGCACCGGATCACAGCCGAGCCGACGGCAGAGTGCCACCATTGTGGTTGCGACCTGGACACGGCAGAGCATACGCTCGTCGCCTGCCCCCCAGGGGAGGGGTGGCGCCGTGTCCTCGTCGCAAAAATAGGAACCGACTTGTCGTTGCCGAGTGTTGTGGCATCAATGCTCGGCGACGACGAGTCGTGGAAGGCGATGCTCGACTTCTGCGAGTGCACCATCTCGCAGAAGGAGGCGGCGGGGCGCGTGAGAGACGCACAATCCCGCCGCCGTCGAGCGGGGGCCAGGGAGGCGGATCTCGCCCAAGCCCTGGCCCTCTAAGTGCTTCGGGTCCCCCTCACATGTCGGTCTGAGGACCGGCGAGGGGGGCCTAAGAAGACGACGTGCAAGCTGCTCTGCACGCATTTTACGCAAGAGCATCCGGGTGATGGAAGGCCGGCTATCCTCGACCCACGCTGGTTCTGGCCCAGCGGGGTATTCCGTAGGGTAACCCACTCTAACCGGTGCCATCTAGGCGGACTTCGGACAGTCTGCCGACCGAGAGGGCTGGTGGTCGTGGCGCCGACGACCGCCAGTCCGGCGTCCCGAGGGGGAGGGTGATGGGAGAGATGTGCTCCGCACTAAACGCTTCACTTTCCCCCCTTTGCCTTGTCATGAGTTCTGTCTCATGCGAGGTTTGGACGTTGGTTGTTGAGCGACAGGAGGTTTTAGTNCTTTTTGCTCTTCACAGAGCGAATGCGGTATCCATCGGGAAAACAACTTTTTTACACCTAATTGTTCATGCAAGATTATTTGTATTTGACTCATGCCAATGTCTAAAGTTGCCTGAATTTCGCGGTATGTCACATGTCGATCTTCCTCAATCAGCTTACGCACAGCATCAACGTTTTCTTGGGTGACTGTAGTTTTTGGACGACCTTGACGGGGATCATCACTGAGCTTGACACGTCCACGTTGAAACTCAGCAAACCAGCGATAAATTGTGGTTTTGGATGGGGCCTCATCACCAAATGCAGAAATCATGCGGTCAACACACTGTTTTTGTGTTAAACCACTTCAAATGTCATAATAAATCATCGCTCTTGAATTTTCTCGAGTCAATTCCATTTTCTCAACGACTAAACAAGTTTGACAAAACCTCGGGACAAGACCGAGAATCTTTTTTTAAATAAATAAATGGTATTCGATTTTTAAAACCAAGGAGTTTCAATTAAAAAGATTTTAATACGACAGGAACAGTGGAAATATTCCATTCCCGATACTTTTAGTGCAGCCTAGTATTGACTATAATATTGTGTAATAAATTCAATTGAACATACTGACATTATCATAATGTCAAATGTCAAAATACAGAAAAAAAAAATATTTTAGTTGGTTTTCATGAATTTTTCTTAATTTTTCTTAATTTAATTTAATTGACTAAAAAGGCAATCAAACTAAACCAAAACTTTCATAGATATGTTTTGTTTATTTTTATTATTCAAGATGAGGCTTCCTGGGGTTAGCAGAGCTTATAGGGATCATTATTTGAACGCTACATACCACCAGCGTAGAATGAAATGAATGTCTCAACTGTGTATACCTACATATAACATATAGTTACATACAGAGGGTATCCATAAGTAAAACTAATGATTAGCTATGTAAATTAAGGTATATAAATGTTTGCGAGCCTATTTTTATGCACCTATTAACAGTTTCAATATGATTACTAAATAGATAGAAAAAGTCAATCACGTAGATTTAAGAAAATATTGCGAACATTTGTTACCGGTCATTGAATAATTTAACTGCCTTAGCAATTAGAATGAAAGAGCCTTGGTACGCTTAAAGTTTGATAACAATATAAAAGACACAAGAATTCAGAAACATGTATCAGTTATAACAGTGACAATAGCAAAGATGGTTTCCAAGGTGCGTTGTGCAGTATATCGAGTTTTAATTGTTAAAAATCTCTGTAGCTAGCACATAAAATGGTATTTTAAATTTAACATAATGTGTTGTAGGTAATGATTTTAGTTGCTTTGGTGGGTGCAGTGTGCGCTGAGCACGCGTTCTCCTCCCAACACATCCACAAGTACGACGGTCACCACGAGCCCGTACACCATGGACACCATCATGATTACTACGTGAGTGACGCACTAATGGAACTCGATCACATAAGCTTACATTGGGAAATTTCACACTTTGAATAAACATAACATTTGCCATTCCAGACCCACCCTAAATTCGACTTCGAGTACAAAGTGAGCGATCCTCACACCGGCGACCACAAGAGTCAGCACGAGTCCCGCGACGGTGACGTCGTTAAGGGATATTACTCGCTGCACCAACCTGATGGCTCTATCAGACACGTCGACTATCATGGTGATCATCATTCTGGGTTAGTATCATGTAATTTGAATTCATCAGTGAAGCTATATTGATTTTTTTTTTATTTCTTTAAATTGTATAAACGTGTTTCTCTTCAGGTTCCATGCTGATGTGAAATACAGTACTCACCATATTATACCTCATCACCACCATTACTAGAACTCCTAATAACTCTAACCTGAAATATATTTTTTTCGAGAAATAATGAAATTTATGTTATTATGATTTAAAAGCATATTGTTATTATTTTTTTTATTAATCTAGAAATGTTCAACCTCAGAAAAGAGATTCAGGTCTCGAAGCTGCATTTTTATGTTCATTAAGAAGCAGATGATAAGTCGTCTTCAATGTTTATGAAGGGAAGCATAACTGAATTTTGTTGAGTGCCTACATTGTATCATTTATTTAATAATAAAACATACGATCATACAAACATTTTCTTTTTTTAACTGTTCATTTGAATTTAAAAACAATGAATTCTGTAATTACTTCCAAACTTTTTAGGTATAAAATAATACGTTGATCTATGAAGTTGTTTTCTTACAATACTGGTCATTTGTAACGTAATTTACATATTATTATTATATAAGGCTGCTATGAATTCAAAATATAAATTATAAAAAATAAGTCGACCGAAGAAGACATGGATGGAGTGTGTGAATGACGATATGAGAGAGAGAGACGAGTGAGTGTTGAGATGACGGCTGATAGAAGAGAATGGAAGAGAAAAATTAGCTGTGCCGACCCCACCTAGTGGGATAAGGTGGAGAAAAAGAAGAAGAAGAAGTTCATTTTATTTTTAAATTAATAACAATGTGGACACAATAAAAATACTAGTAGTTATGGAACGTGAGTCCTTCGCGGTAGCAATGATAAACGGCTCATAATAATAGGTTGGGAAAAAAGTCTTTTCGCATTATAGTATGTATGAACTTGTAATAAAATCTCTTTAGCTATACTATTTGTATCTGGCTGGTTTTGGTATCATTAAAAGTTTAAATTTTAGAGAAGATAATTCCAAATTCAAATTAGGAAAATGTGTGATTTTTATTTATTTTTCGTACTGTCAAGATGAGTGAGTGTTATGAAGAAATTCGATACATGTGACAATTTTACTACGAAAAAGGTAAAAATGCAACTGACTAGAACTGATCTAGTTGCAGTGTCTGTGAGAGTAGCACAAATTTGGTTTAAGCGTTTTCAATCCGGAAATGTTAATGTCAAAGATGCACGTCGCTCTGGTCGCCCCATTACGGATATAATGGATGCCGTTTTCGAAAAAGTGGAGCAAGGTCGGCATATCAGTAGTTACGACATAGCTGAAGAACTGGGAATTGACCACAAAACAGTATTGGCGCATTTGAAAAAAAACTGAGTACACAAAAAAGCTCGATATTTGGGTACCTCACGAGCGCACTGAAAGAAACCTAATGAACCGTGCACTCATTTGTGATTTTTTATTACCACCAACCGGAGTGATATGGGAGTGCTCATAATGAGTGCCCCCATGGGACTGAGCTATCCACACTCGTCATTTCCCCCCACACGGTCGGGGTGCCCCCCTATGGGGACCCATTGCACCACCCGCGTGGGTGAACCACTCCCCCTTCTGGGGAGTGCTAAAACGTCGGTCCCTCCCCGCAACGGTCTTCCCCATTCTGGGGAGACCCGAGCGGGTGAGCGCCAAGCTAGTGCCACGGCTCCCCCTCTGGTTTGTAGAGGTGGGGCCGCGGCATGGGGCCGGTGGCGGGCCCCACGGTGCTGACTGTTGTCCCTTGTAGATATTTGTAAATAATTAGTATTAGTTAGTTTAGTTTTAGTTAGTTTATAGTTCATGGTTAGAGGGGGAAAAAAAAACCGTAGGAAGCAGAGGACAGCAGCCGGCGCCGGGGAGACTCTTCCACGGGCATCACTCCACCCAGGAAAAACAAGCCCATCGTATTATATATAAGTATTTATTTATTTTGTCGATGTGAATGTGCCGAGCACGCTGCGAACAGTCCCCCCCTCATCTCGTCTTGCATAACTTCACCCCTGCCCTGTGTGGCAGGGAGCTTCGTTCCGGGCAGTGGGGTCTACCCCGAGGCCCGTCCCGTGCCCCGTAAGGGAGCACGACGACCCCGAGTAGTAGTATTACCACCAAATGAAACCGAACCATTTTTGAAGAAGCTGATAACTGGTGATAAAAAGTGAATAACGTACGACAAGAACGTGCGAAAAAGGTCGTGGTCAAAGACCGGTCAGGCTTTACAGACTGTGGCGAAACCCGGGTTAACTCGCAACGAGGTGATGTGTGAGTGGTGGGATGGGAAGGGCATTATTCATTATGAGCTGTTACCACCAGGCAGGCTCATTGATTCTGAATTCTACTACGTACAACTGATGAGATTAAAGTAAGAAGTTGAGAGAAAGCGGCCGGAATTAATCAACAGAAGGGGTGTGGTTTTTCATCATGATAACGCTAGACCAATCACATGTTTAGCCACTCAGAAAAAATTAAGAGAGCTTGGCTGGGAGGAGTTAATGGATCCGCCGTATAGTCCTGACTTTGCACCTTCAGATTTTCACCTGTTTCGGTCTCTCCAGAATTCTTTAGGCAGTGTCAGGCTAACATCATGAGAGGACCGCCAAAACCAATTGTCGCAGTATTTTGATCAGAAGCCCCAAAATTTTTATAGCAATGGGATCATGTCCCTACCTACAAGATGGCAAAAAGTTATCGAACAAAATGATACCTACCTACATACTTTAGTTAAATGTAAATAAACTATATTAAAAAAATTTGTGAATTTTCTTCAAAAATGCGAAGAAACTTTTCCCCAACCTATTATTAATGACGAGTACGGAGTGAACACTACAAACTACTGTGGTGCAATGAATGTATAAAGGTATCACTTGCGTTGCATAACAGACACAGAAACTATGGAATTTTGAAGCGAATTGTCACTTGTGATAAAAATTGATTCTTTTTGATAATTCTAAACGATCATCATGCTGGTTAGACACTGGTTCTGCACTTAAATGGCAATTTCGTAGATACAGATCTGATATTTTCTTGATTGTCTTCACTTATATGATTGAGAAATAGTGCCATACATTTCTAAGCTCCATATTACATGAATTACAAATGAGTAGGCTCTAGACAATAATAATGACAATACATGTTTTACAATAATTTGGTTGGTTCGTAGCGTTGTTAAGCTTTTGGTTTTTTCAGTTCGTTTTATGCTACCTATAAAGAAAACAAAAAAGTTACAATGCCTAATAATCTTTTTTTTTGTCTATATAATTATGACGTCAATAAGAACACAGAATTTTTAAGTACCTACTATTGCAATGGTACAAACGAAACGACAGAACCAACTCATCCAATACCTTAGAGAAATCCTTATGGATCATACAACAAACAAACTACAGAGAGAATCGAGGTTTTGCCGTAGATCCAAGGTTTTTTGCTTACCTATCTGCGAGTAGCCACGAGGAGCTATTCTGGCTTCACTCTGACTGGAGGGCAAGCTCAAAGGGCTGAACTCGAGAGAAATTGCAAATATCTGCTCTAGCAAGAGTAGTGTTTCGCTGAATCTACCACTGAGAAGTTCCGGCAAGAAACTGAGTGGGATTTGTCTATGGGTTAAATTACACGTCGAATTTTTCTCGTCGAACGATGCCCGGTGCTTGAAATGATTATAAGTCCTGAGACTGGATCGAGAGGATCCATAAGGATGTACTTAGGCTTAGGGCGACGGTGGTAATTTTAGGAAAACCAAGCCCTGGTAAGTCAGTCTCTGAACTTATCGAAAATTACGTAAACTCTTAAAATTGTTACGTTCCTTTTTCTCAATGATTAAGTAAATTAGACTGTTTTTGTATCCGACCTATAAACGTTACACTAGGTACATACGTACGTACCACGTGATTTAATTTAAACGTGTACCATTCTCGAGTTTTTTACAACATATTTATTACTTGTATAAAATTAATAATGGAATAAGATTATTATTTCGACCTTAATACATTATTTTCATTTCAGTTTACATAGATAATACGAAGTTTTTTGGACGAAAAAAAAAACCATAAAACAAAGTATTAAATATTTGTAGTTTATATTTCTGAAGTTGATTTTGGAAGAGCAGAAAGTAGAATTGCATTTCAAAATATTAATGAACACTAGTAATGATGGTGATGCGGGATAATGTGATGAGTGCTGTATTTCACATCCGCATGGAATCTGTTGAAGAATTAATGATACATTTCAACATTTTATTGAATAGTTGATCTTTATAGCTTGTTTATAGAGCCCTAAATTACCCTTACCCAGAATGGTGATCACCGTGGTAGTGCACGTGTCTTTCGGAGCCGTCAGGTTGGTGCAGCGAGTAATATCCCTTGACGACGTCACCGTCGCGGGACTCGTGCTGACTCTTGTGGTCGCCGGTGTGAGGGTCGCTCACTTTGTACTCGAAGTCGAATTTAGGGTGAGTCTGAATCGAAAAAAAATAATTTATTCATAATGTCCCAGCATCAGTTTATGTGATCGAGTTCAATCAGTACGTCACTCACATAGTAATCATAATGGTGTCCGTGATGTACGGGCTCGTGGTGACCGTCGTACTTGTGGATGTGTTGGGAGGAGAACGCGTGCTCAGCGGATACAACACCCACCAATGCGACGAACAATACTACCTGGAATATCATATTATTTTAAAAGGAAAATAAAAAAATATGAAATATATATTTTTTATATTGTTACTATTTTATTTTGCTTAATCATGCTAAAACTAACCTTAAAGACCATTTTTGTTGCTGTTTCTTCGTGAACTGATACCTGACCATCCATTATAGTAACTTTTATACTGTTATCAGAAAACATTTTGGTTCCAAGGTTCTTTTCGCTCTAATTTCATAGGCAATAAAATTATTCAATGCTTAGAAATTGTAATTTTATGCAACAGTAAAATATAACTTGCGTGATTGCGTTTTTTGTATGATACATTAAATTTATGTAAATTACTTGAATGGACAATAGATCTCGTAAAAGTCAAACAAAACAAACATCATAATATTTCGTGCTAAAAAGATACATCTTATTTTCGTTTGATTTTGCTATAATTGTAGTGAAACCATATTTTGCATCGGTGTGCTTGCAGGCTATTATATTTTGGAAAATGCTTACAAATTAAGCATCCAAAGTATTGCCCATAGCTAGTCACAATTTATTTTCACCTTCTGGATGTTAAAATACATCGACGGTTGAAGTATTAGTCTTTTGAGATTACGCAATTTAATAAAATATATACGAATTAAGTCATTTTTTTATGTCTGTATATAAGCGGAAGTGCGTATCTCATCGATTGGAACAAATAATAATCGGACGACGCAATATTTTGGGGATATAGTGGCTGGGTAGCGCTTCCCATTTGAGCATTTCCAAGTAGATTTTTACGGGTTTGACAACGTGAGATTGAGCTTTGTCCCTGCTGATACTGCTTAACAATGAAGGTTTCCTTCTGTTCTAACAGCTCATAACAACTAACGCCGACACAGTTCCACCCTTTACTGACGACGCAGAAGCATGACCGGGCAATCTTCAAGATTTTTTCTCTTTGAGTTGCCATATTAAAACATTTTTTATTACTCGTCATGTTGCGATGAAGAAAACACTTTCTTTTATAGAACAACACTTTTTGAAAAAACAACACTTGACACCTCTTGTTGTACATTGAGTAATATCCCTTGATTATGTCACCGTCGCGGGACTCGTGTTGACTCTTGTGGTCGTCGGTGTGAGCGTCGCTCACTTTATACTCGAACTCGTATTTAGGGTGAGTCTATTATAATATGGTAGATCATCTTAAATACAACAAAGAATGTAAAACAGTGTATAAGTGCGTGTGATAAATGTGCACACACATAGTAGTTATAATGGTGTCCATTATATACGGGCTCATGGTGATGATCGTACTAGTGGATCTGTCATGCTTGTGGAGGAGAACGCTCGCTCAGCGGATACTACACTTAAGACACTACTAGAATAAGAATCTGGAAAAACAACTGATATTGAGTAGCCGGCGAATCCATCCGAAAGGGTAGTTGCCCGTCTGGAGATATGAGATGGAAGTTTCGGTAGCATTGTAAGCAGTACTAGTTGTGCTATCCTACTTTTTAAGCTGGAATTAATAAATGCTTTGCAGCATAAATAAGTGAGATAGGTATAACCACAGCCCATGCAATTTGTATTTCTTGTAATTACTTCCAATTGATTGATTATCTCGTTTAAAGTATTGATAAGTAAAATTTTAAGACCCAAAAAATTATTTATTTAAAATTACTAAATAAAAAATCTACTGGTGGTAGGACCTCTTGAGAGGGCCTCCCCCCGGTGAAGGTCAAGGGGCGACCTGAGGGGGTGAGGCCGCGCGGCGCGCTACCAGCACTCTAGCGCGCTGCCGTGGAGTGAATAGAGCGACCGGTCGACGGTGTATCGCGTCCCGACCCGGCAGGCTGGTTCTGGTCCAGCGGGGTATTCCGGGACACCAGCGGCACCGTCTGGGCGGCCCGACGGGCTGCCGTACCGAGNCACCTGATGTTAAGTGGTCACTGGAGCCCATAGACATCTACAACGTAAATGCGCCACCCACCTCGAGATATAAGTTCTAAGGTCTCAGTATAGTTACAACGGCTACCCCACCCTTCGAACCGAAACGCATTACTGCTTCACGGCGGAAATAGGCGGGGTGGTGGTACCTACCCGTGCGGACTCCCAAGAGGTCCTACCATCAGTGATTACGCAATTCATAATGTTGCGGGTTTGATTGTTATTACACGATGTTATTCCTTCACCGTGGAAGTCAATCGAGAACATTTGTTGAGTACGTATTTCATTAGAAAAATTGGTACCCGCCTACGGGATTCGAACACCGGTGCATCGCTTCATAGGAGTGCACCGGACGTCTTATCCTTTAGGCCACGACGACTTCGTTCTTTACAAAATACGTACTACTTGCATATATAATAATTAATAATGAAATAAGCTTATTATTTCTACCTTAATCACTTATTTTCATTTCATTTTAGGAGAGTACGAAAATTTTCGGGCGCAAAAAAAAACCCAATAAAACAAAGTATTTAATATTTGTAGTTTATTTTTCTGAAATTGATCTTGGAAGAACAGAAAGTAGAATTACATTTCAAAACATTAATGAACACTAGTAATGATGGTGATGCGGGATAATGTGATGAGTGCTGTATTTCACATCAGCATGGAACCTGTCGAAGAATTAATGATACATTTCAACATTTTATTGAATAGTAGATCTTTATAGCGTGCTTATAGAGCCCTAAATTACCCTTACCCAGAATGGTGATCGCCGTGATAGTCGACATGCCTAATGGAGCCGTCAGGCTGGTGCAGCGAGTAATATCCCTTGACGACGTCACCGTCGCGGGACTCGTGCTGACTCTTGTAGTCGCCGGTGTGAGAGTCGCTCACTTTGTACTCGAAGTCGAATTTAGGGTGAGTCTGAATCGAAAAAAAATTATTTATTCATAATGTCCTAATATCAGTTTATGTGATCGAGTTCAATCAGTACGTCACTCACATAGTAATCATAATGGTGTCCGTGATGTACGGGCTCGTGGTGACCGTCGTACTTGTGGATGTGTTGGGAGGAGAACGCGTGCTCAGCGGATACAACACCGACCAATGCGACGAACAATACTACCTGGAATATCATATTAATTTTAAAAGGAAAATTAAAAATTATGAAATATTTATATATTTTTTATATTGTTACTATTTTATTTTGCTTAATCATGCTAAAACTAACCTTAAAGACCATTTTTGTTGCTGTTTCTTCGTGAACTGATACCTGACCATCCATTATAGTAACTTTTATACTGTTATCAGAAAACATTTTGGTTCCAAGGTCCTTTCGCTCTAATTTCATAGACAATAAAATTATTCAATGCTTAGAAATTGTAATTTTATGCAACAGTAAAATGTAACTTGCGTGATTGCGTTTTTTGTATGATACATTAATTTATGTAAATTACTTGAATGGACAATAGATCTCGTAAAAGTCAAACAAAACAAACATCATAACATTTCGTGCTAAAAAGATACATCTTATTTTTGTTTAATTTTGCTATAATTGTAGTGAAACCATATTTTGCATCGGTGTGCTCGCAGGCTATTATATTTTGTCAATAGGATCCTCAACTAATTTCTCGCAATTTTTTTTAATGTAAATGAAACTTTAGTGTGAAAAATGCTTACAAATTATGCATCCAAAATATTGCCCATAGCTGGTCACAATTTATTTTCACCTTCTGACTGTTAAAATACATTAACGGTTGAAGTATTAGTCTTTTGAGTTTTTTTTTTCTATATTTATATACGAATTAAGTTATTCTTTGACGTCTGTATATGAGCGGAACTGCGGCCAGTCCATATTTCATTGAACGGAACAAATAATAATCGGACGGCGCAATATTTTGGGAATATGTGTGCGGGTGGGTAGCACTTGCCATTTGAACATTTCCAAGTAAGTTTTTACGGGTTTAGCAACGTGAGGTTGATTGAACGTTGTCCGATGTTTCTTTCCCGAAGGGTTCCTTCTGTTCCAAAAGCTCATAACAACTAACGCCAACCCAGTTCCACCCTTTGGGTTCCACAGTATAATCTTCAAACGAGAACATTCCTCTAAGCTGACGACGCAGAAGCATGACCGGGCAATCTTCAAGATTGTTTCTTTTTGAGTTGCCATATTAAAACATTTTTTATTACTCGTCATGTTGCGATGAAGAAAAAACTTTCTCAACACTTTTTGAAAAAACAACACTTAACATCTCTTGTTGTACATCGAGTAATATCCCTTGATTATGGCACCGTCGCGGGACTCGTGTTGACTCTTGTGGTCGTCGGTGTCACAATCGGTGTCATAATCACAGCCCATGCGATTTCTATTTCTAGTAATACTTCCAATTAATTAATTATCTTGTTTAAAGTAAGGGTCTTAATAAGTTAAATTTGAAGACCAAAAAAATTCGTTATTTTAAAATTAATAATCATCACTCATGGGTCAATGGAATGTCCTACTAAAATCGAATTGTTCAATATATTAGTCTTAACAATAACTTAGTGAGCATGGTGGAAGTGTGTTATAACTCATAATGAAAACTGATACTTGTGGTGTAATTCTCGACTTTTTTCATATTATGTCAGTGAAACTGTATCAAGGTTCCTTCGATTATGATTTCATAGGTAGTTAAAGTAATCAATGGTAAAATAACAATTGCGACAGTTTGGTAGCATGTACTTACTATTGCTTTTTCGAAGGTGCTTAATAGTTTTAGTTTCTTTCACTCGTTGGTTGTAATAATCATCTACAGCTAAAGAGATTAATAATTCAGAACTGCTGAAGATTGCGGGTGTAGTTTATTTATGAAGTGCAAAACATTGTCTTTTTAGGGCCTTTTTGACAGGGTGTTTGTACAGAGTTCTTTACGTACCTGGATTCTGTCTCAAAATTATTTTCATTCATCTTGATAGACCTAGACTGCTGTTACCCATTGCGTTTCATAGCTTATTATAACAAAGTTTTTGGGTTACAGAGAAGTCGCCGAACTAGGTACGCAGCGGCTTGGCTAGGTACGCTACGGCTCTGCCCCTGGCATTGCTGAAGTCCATGGGCGACGGTAACCACTCACCATCAGGTGGGCCGTATGCTCGTCTGCCTACTAAGGAAAAAAAACTTACATCAATGCGTTAAGAGCGATAGGGGAATGCTGGAGTTGAGCCAATTAAGCTTCGCTCAATAACCCACTTCTGAGCCTTAGATGAAGCAGAACTCAACTAAGACAAGATTTTGCCCCCACAGGTTAGCAAAGTAAAGATCGTCATGGCTATCAAGCCTCTCAGATGAAGCTAACATTTTTTGGTAAATCATTTAACATGTCCACTTCTATTTCAGAAACAATGAAACAGATTTACTTTACGTTGATATGGAACAACTACTCTCTAGAACTGAAACTTCACTTAAACTTCTTTCTCTAGAGCTGAAGCTATCGTTTATACTTCATCACTATGACATAACGTTTATCATTGTGAGACTTGAGAGAATTCCGTAGATTCCGTATTCAATTCAGTAGATGAATTAAAGTATGGACTAAGCAAAATATCAAGATCTGGACTATAGAGTTGTACTAAAATACCATCCACTGTGTTGTTTTTTAAATGGATGCTCTAATTAAATTTTTCCATGTTACAGTTAGTGTGGTATTCAATACTTCCGGAATCCACAGAGATCATAGCATCTCGAGCCGTGTATGCCCCTATGATATGTATGCCCCTGAGATATAAGTTTGATGCCTCCGTTGTGTGGTATTACAGAAGGACCCCTTTTAAAACAAGAACTGTGATTGATTTCGGTCGAAATAGGTAGAATTTTGGTATTTAGTTGTGTAGATCCGCAATACGGGCCACCGCGGCTACTTATTTGCCCAAATTAATATATTCTGTGGGTTTTCTTGACACGCTTTCTTTAATAACGTTGTTTTTGTTTCTAGGTAAGCTTTACTATTATCTTGAAAAGTTTTTATTGCACACTGGGTACTTTTACTTGAAGGGCGTAAGAAAAAAAAAACATATGTACACTTTACACACAATAGATGTGAAATCATCAGAAATATTAAATCTCATTGTCTCGCAGGCTGAATAAATCTTGTAGATGTTTTTAAAGTTATATTTCTTTAGGCGCGTTATGAAAAATTAATGAGAGTGAAATTTTACGATGCGTGCGCACCGTGACACAAAATTAACAGAATGAAGTTGCCCACTAAATCGCTCATTACAATACGACCGACGTAACTTGGCGAGTCTGAATATAGCCGCAGGTGAAGTTTCCGAACCGTACCGAGAATTACCGATTTTTTTTTATAGCTTAGATGGGTGGACGAGCTGTCAGTCCACCTGGTGTTAAGTGGTTACTGGAGCCCATAGACATCTACAACGTAAATGCGCCACACATCTTGAGATATAAGTTCTAAGGTCTCAAGTATAGTTACAACGGCTGCCCCACCCTTCAAACCGAAACGCATTACTGTTTCACGGCAGAAATACGCTCAGCGTCGGAACGGTACTTCGATAAGGCTATGCGTCATGATAATCGCCGTATCTTCGCCGCCGCTGACTACTCCCCGAATCCTGATCACGCAGGAGCCAGTCACCGTCGAAGACCTAGACACGTCCTTACGGATCCATCAGATCCAATAACCTTTGCATTAGACGCCTTCAGCTCTAACACTAGGAGCAGGCTTAGGGACCCCGGTAACCGTACTCGTCGAACTCGACAAAGAGTTCACCGTGCAACCTAACCCATGAATCAGCTCGCTGAGTTTCTCGCCGGATCTTCTCAGCGGGTCGCGATTCCGATCCGGTAGTAGATTCATTCGCGAAGCAGCTGCTCTTGAGCTGTTAGGTCTCCTTCGGAGGCGCTCGGGTAACTGTTAGCAAATCCCACCCTCCTGGCTGAGCCTTTGCTCGCCCACCTGTCCTGGTGAAACGGGAAAGGCCTTTGGGCCACCAATAAATCCAAGTAATCCTTCAATCATAATAAATAAGAAATAGGCAGGGTGGTGGTACCTACACGCGTGGACTCATATGAGGTCCTACCACTAGTAAAGTAAGTTATACGATGTCAAGAAAGGGATGTCCAATATGCGTGTTTGAGGATGTTGTTTAATCGATTTTTTTTCAAATTGATTAAAATTTCAGTTATCGGTACCCATAGGCATCACAATGTGAACCCACCTTGAGACATGCGGACAAAGCCTGAAATTTGACCTGTAAAGACAATCTCATCCTTTAAAGTAATTGCTACCTACCTACCTATATACAGGTGGTGGTAACGCGTCATTTCTCGTACTTTGATAATATTATATCAGTCGTCGATAATCGTTCGTCTTCGGGTTGTGCAATGAATAAACAAAAAACAGGCAGTATGGCCGGATTTATTGGTGAGGCTCTATTACTCTGCATTGTTTACTTTTATATAAAAAAAATATTTTTCAGCATCAATTTTCACGTGTTTTTTAGGTTCTATGTTAATCGAACATTGTAAAAAATTTCAAATTGTGTTAAGTTGTTTACTACCAATTAATGGTAGCACAATGAAAAGCTATTCCATTACATTCTAAAAAGTGCTATTTCAATCATTCTAGGTGACAAAAAAGACCAAAATCTTGTCTAGTCGTATTTAATTTATTTTGTTTACAAATACGCAACAGTTTTGTGGGAAACAGAAGGCCGTGAGCAGCTTAGTAATGGTGATGATGGGGAACGATATGGTGAGTGCTGTATTTGACGTCAGCATGGAACCTGTAAGATATAATCGCTGCTGTATAACCATTATCAGAATCATATTAGAAAGTATTTTGATGAAATTTCGTAATGTTTCTCACCCAGAGTGATGATCGCCGTGATAGTCGACGTGTCTGATGGAACCGTCAGGTTGGTGCAGCGAGTAATATCCCTTGACGACGTCACCGTCGCGGGACTCGTGCTGACTCTTGTGGTCGCCGGTGTGAGGGTCGCTCACTTTGTACTCGAAGTCGAATTTCGGGTGAGTCTGAATCGAAAATTTTTAATTTATTCAAAATGTCTTAATATCAGTTTATGTGATTGAGTTCAATTAGTACGTCACTCACGTAGTAATCATGATGGTGTCCGTGGTGT